CCCCCGCCCCCACCCCCACCTGCCCCAGCGACACGCTCGTCGCCGACATCTTGCGCACCAAGATGCCTACATTATCAAACGATCACGATTTATTATTTTTTAAACGTACTCAAGATTAAAAAATAATCGTTAAAATTGTGTTTACCTTGTAAAGGTAACGACACGGTGTCGCACTCCCGCCCGTTCAGGTAGAATGTAACCTGCAACCGAATCGTGTCGCGACTTTTAATTGTAATTACATACTATGTTACGGTGACAAGTTCCAAATGGTATTTAAATGATATTGATAAAGATTACCTGTATGTGTATCTTGCGGCGCAGCACGGCCTCGCGCACGTTGAGCGCCAGGCAGGACCAGCGCGCGGCACGCAGCCGGCACGCCGCGCTGCCCTCGCACAGCGCGCGCGCCCCGCCCCCTCCGCACTCCGCCACGCCCCCGCCCACGCCCACGCCCACGCCCTCGCCGCGCGACAGTCGCACCGACGGCACGCCTGCCACCGCACTCAAATTACAACATTTCTTCTGGCATACTTAATGAGATTTTAAGGCAAGGCAAGGAATATTGTTTAAATAATAATATAGTTGAATCAAACGGCCATCCACCTGTAGCGACGTTCAGCCACAGCTCGAAGGTGAGCGAGTCCTGGCCCAGCGACAGCACGTGCACCGCGGCCCCCGCCTCGCCTCGCTCCCCGACCGCCTCCTTCGTCTCCTCCGCCTCCTCCCCCATCGGCGCCGCTCTGTCCACCTCGTCGTAGTCTTCGCACTTAGCCTCTGTCCAGGGTAACGTATATACGATACTTTAGTTAAATTCAAATGCAAGTGCAAGAATTTCTTTATGCATCTTTTTAAAAAAGTGTGTTACTAGTAAACCTAAAAAAGGGCATCCCATATATGGTACAGAAGGATTAAGTTTGCCGACCTGGTAACGGCTGCAGCCATAGCACGAGAGCGAAGCCCTGCAGCCAGGGCCCCCAGTTGGCGCCGTCCACGGTGCAGCGCGCCGCGCCCGCGCCGCACGGAGCCCTCGCATCTGTAGCAACAAGCGAACGGTTCCTTGCAACAAGTCGGATTGTGAACTTTTGATGCTTAAGTGGACTCTCACCGTCGGAGGAGCGGGGGTGGAGTGGTAGGGGGAATTGAAGCGCGAAGTCCGGCGTGCAGGGGTCTGCGTGCGCCAGGAGACGCCGCAGCGCGGAGAGCAGCGCGCCCAGCGGCGGCCGGTCCGCCGCCGCCAGCCGCAGCAGCGCCGCCAGCTCCCGCGGCTCCACGCTCTGGGAGGCCACCACGTGTATTAGTTCCAATATGCTGTGTTGCAGTTCTAATGGAAAATAAAAATATATCGTTCGTAAGTAGCTCTCCTTTTTGTCACTCCTTGGAGTGTCTCATACGTTCGACGTACCGAAATCGGATTACGAGTAAAAGCGCGAAGTGGTGTTACCTGCGAGGCGAGGGTCGGTGCGGCGCAGCAGGGCGGCGGCGGGCGGGGCGAGCAGACGGCGCAGCAGGCCCGCCGGCGCGCCTCCGCCCGCCAGCCTGGCGGCCAGCGCGCGCGCCAGTCCGCCGCAGACGCGCTCCAGGCTCTCCTGCGTGCCGTTGTTGCTCTCCTCCTCCACCACCCTGACGCAAACGACAAGCTCATCGATCCGGACGTCAGGATTACGGTTCGCGAGAGGAGGTACCCACCTCTGGACGAGCTGCGAGAGGATGTCGACCACTACGAGGCAGAGCTCGGGGTGCGCCAGGGCGGGGCCCGGGGCCGCGCGCTCTCCGCACAGCGCCTCCATCGGCGACTGGTAGTCTGAAAAGTGTGCCTCGTTTTGAAGGACTCGCCGTGCATCAACGAGACGAGTGTGAGAGAAGCGCAGCCGCTCACCGGGGAGGCCGCCGAGCACGGACGCGGTGTGCGCGAGGTCGCGGCCCGCCAGCTTGCCCGCCAGCTTGTCCGCCAGCTTGCCCGCCTCCACGTCCGCCTGCAACACAGTCGAGTGCCGATCAAATCGTACCGCACCACAAGCATGTGAAAATATTTTATATCGAATCCTTTGAAAACACATATTCCTCCGAGGAATTATTGTTTAAAGATTTCAGTTTAGAGATTCTAGAATGTGTTATTAATGATGCCCTAAATGAGTAGTAGGTGTGTACGAGTGGCGCGCACCTCGTAGCCGTCGTCGTCGGGCGGGTGGGGGTCGCTGAGCTCGCTGGCGTAGGGACTGGCGTGCGAGCCGCCGAGAGGGCCGGTCTCCTCGCCCGATGAGCCCTCCGCGGAGCTGCCGCTCGACTCGCACTGCAGCGGCGGCACCTGACACAGTAAACCGACATTTCCATTGTTACTTGTATCAATTTGTTTTGTTTGCATTGTTTATCCTATTTATATACCTCTTATGTAATTAACTATTCTTAGGACCTTCGAGGAAACGTAATTCTACGAAACTTATATCGTATACTAGCGTTGCGAGTATCACGGAGCGCAACATCGAATTGACGAGCGTGGTCTATTCGGTTAATATACACAGATAGAACGACAACACGGCTACCACAAATTTACAAAATGTCAACTGTATAGTTTTACTCTGCCATCTTCAAATTCGCAGCGACTTTTCTCTCGTGGGTGTTGACAAACAAGTAGCGAGCGAAGAACGACGAAAATGTCAGCGAACGCGCGTCTGTGTACGAACCTCCGACATTGTATAGTATAAGGCGCTTACCGACTAAACAACCGACCGCGGGGTTTCCAAGATTTACTTCGCCTTATGTACGAAGGGTCTAAGATATACGAAGCCTTTGTGTCAGTTCGAACGTAAAATTAATAGTAACATATGCGGCATTGTATAATCCTCAGTAAAGCGTCGCTTAATCGCGGCCGTCACGTTTCCGGCATTACAGCCGGCGCACCGTAAGATTTCACGGTCAAAAATTCCGTACAACATATTGATATTTCTATAATTTAAATGAGAAAGAAAGTGATAACAATATGTTGTGTACAGGTGTGAAAAGTTACGGCGAGTTTCCAATTTACTTCTGCGCTAAGGATTCCCGCGGGAAGCCATTTAACTGCGACCTCCGCTAACAAAAATTACTTTACGTCCAATAAATATATTTGATACCTACCTATTAGTAACTGTGATTATATAGTGGGATATTGTGAATCATTAGTCTTCCAGTAAAAGCTTATTATAATAAGATTAGTTTAAATGCTTAATGGTTGCGTGTTGTCGCCCGCCGCCGCGCCGCTGCGCCGCTGCGCCGCCCGACGCGACAAGTTGCCGCTGTCACACAGGATTACGACATTAGTTGTCTGACTTGCATTGACTATCTTATAACAAACCATTGAAACAACATCCTACAGACTCTTGGAATGGACAAGCAACAGTTAATGTAAAAAAAAAACAACGGATCACAAAAACTCCAACTCCCTAGTCCCCTTTGGAGAAGAATACGAATGAATGACACCTCACTTTTCAAAAACGGTGAGGCCGTTTCCGTCAAAAAAGGTTAAAATGTTAAGGATATGCCCGTCAACCGTTAAAAGTTTTACCTTGGTGTCCGCCGCGGAAAAATATAAATATACTTTTATCTGATGTAATAAAATTGAGTTTTGATTTCTGTGTTGATGCTCGATACAATATGGTACAAGTCTAGTCAGTTTCCTGTGATGCACTCCGATGATGACGTAAATGAAATTAATGAATACAAAAAATGCGCCTCAAATCTGAACGGCACTTAATACGTTCGTATATTATTTGGAAACCGGTGGTCCTTTAGCAGTGACTGATGCTACTCACCCCAACGATCGTTAAACTTTTAATGTGCTTCTTCATAATATAAGTACAGTGGGAGTTGTTCGCGATGTCTCCATAGAGCAACAATAGTTTGAACGTCTGACTTATAGTATCTTGAAATTATAAAAATCGGTAAATGTTGTAACGATAGAGTATTTGACACTGTACAATATTAACAAGTACAAGTAACATACATTGCTTTTAATTAAATCAAAACAAGTTTAAGTTAGTTCTGTAACTGGAACACCGCGAACGAAGTCAACTGTACCAAGTAGTAGTACTGTATGAAGTTTCTCAATATCAGAGTAAGATATCCACTGACATTTATCCAAACATTTCATAAACAAAAGCAAAAACTTATATAAGAGTGAAAAATGTTAATTAGAAACACGTAAAATAAGGAAGGTCCTCCAAGAAGTAGTAACGCAGTGTATGTTGGACAGCTCGGCTGCGCTAGTGTATCATTAGTGTAATAGCAACCGCGCGTTTACTTTTATTTATCTATATTTAAGTGCCGCAGAAAAATACTTACTCAATGTTATATTAATACCGAAACATTGTTATATTAATATATTAATACAGTTAAATAAATCGTAATCGTATCGTAGTGATATGAGTAGCTTGCTTTTATATTTGCGTTTAGAATCTATTTACCATTATTAGGTGACTGCTATATACGAGTATAATAACGTTCAACTAGTATCTTTTTTCGTCAATGATGTATCGTCATTGTCGATGCTGATTGTTTACAATCTACAATACAAGTTAAACAGATAGTTCTCAAAATATGCAAGTACATAACTAGTAGGCATTGGCGGGCTCGTTATCAGCGGGCAATCGTCTTGCAGCAATTAGCTGCCGGATGGCGGGCAGCGTCGCTGGCACAGTTCACCCGGCGGACATTAAGCCACAATCGAAGTCGTAAAACTGTTACAAGACGTTTATCTATGCCAATACTAACATTTAATAATTGCGCATTTGATAATGGTAATGGCAGTTTCCACTGCAAAAACATCTACAAAAACATATTATTATTCTATATGTCATGGATTGGGGGACAAAATATTTTGTACAGATGTTTCGATAATCTTTCGGTAGCCGTAGAACGAACAAACAAATACTCATTTATACCAGTTTAAAGACTTCGATTTCTGCGAGCGAGTGACTGCGACGCAAATTGTGAACAGCATTGTTATTTCGCGCGAAGCACATCAAAATTATAAAGATAAGGAGCGGACTTCGTTTTGTAGTGCGTTTGGAAGCGAGGCGAAGCGGCGGCGGTGGGTCACGACGTCAATTTTACATAATTAACGCATAATTATATTGTCATCGATACGCAAGTGGACATAAAAAGAATTCTGAATATTTCAAAGGCACTGGCATGTTTTTCTTAGAATACTGAATCTTTTTTTCGGAATATAGTTAGCATGAGTTGCTAATTCTCATTTTTGCTCGGCTCACGGTAAATTAGTTGAAGTGAATAATTTATTTTGTGAGCCGTCGCAGACGGACTCTACCGTCCAGGTTGATAAAATGCTCAAGAACGGCGGTATTAAAGCTCCAGAAATCAAATTCGAAAAACAGATAAGATTTCATGTAGAGTAAGTTATGGCGATGGAAGATAGTGGTTACAAACATGTAAAAAAACATCTAATTTAATCATTCAGTTTTTCGCCAATTCGTAAATAACAAGTTTGTTGCAATTACAGAGCATACAAGTTTTTTTTTTATAATACACAAATGTAAACTATTCTATACAACGTTACTAGGCTATGACTAGGGACCGAACTTGTGTTCGGGGCCGTAACAACCACTCACTCAGACTATACGCAATCGAACCACACGGACGTTCCAAATAAAGCGATGATAAAAACTCTAACATTTACACAATTTCTTTTCGGTCTCATCATTAAATATGAACGTTTCTTTGCCTTCCTCTTACCATAGACATTGCTCCTTCAATGTTTTCGATCACATAAGCTTCATTTAATACAGCGACAAAGCTATAATTAAGTAAATAGAGGCCGTAGGCGATTATTGCCAAATGTTACGAAACTCACCGGCATGAGGAACTGCCTATTAAGTTTGAAGGCGAGCCGGCTCCGGCTTAGACCTTCCGAATTTATTGCGAAATATCACTAGCACCTCACGCAGGAGCACAACAACTTTACACCACTTTCACTTTCACCCGTCCCACGCGTGGAGCTTCCTATACTGTACTGTACGCGATACCTAGCGATATTTTGTTTTGATATATATAAATATTTGTAATAGAAGCGGTTGTCTACTTGGTGGCTAGCGGCGGTGTGAGGGCGGCGTGAGTGCGGCCGCGCAACAAGGGGGCTCCACACGACGGGCGGCCCCGCGGACATGTTTTACGTTCCTCATTATAACCGGCCTCAGATGTTACGTCACTAATTCATAGCATAAAAACAACCAAAACAAAAATAAAGATAAAAGTTTTGGCTGCAGGCTCAAATCAAATCATCGCATCAACCACTTCTAGTTTGAAAGTACCTTGCTTGTTGACGTATTTATATTATTTTGTAATAATACCAACTTAATATAAAGATAATAAATTCTAATAGCATATCGTATTACGTAATCGTTACAAATTAACAGGTTACTTTAATTTAGTAAATAATTGATAGTGATTAGAGCAATAGCGATGTTTTACTTACTTTTAGAATAACGTACAATTCTCAGTAACTGCGATGTTTCATTAAAGAAGGTAGGCTTTAAGTACATTTAGAGTCCAAATGAATAAAAATAATGCGAATTGTAAATAAAGTAAGCATTAGATAATTCATTGTGTTATTATCCTGCATTAAATGTGATGGTATGGTCACCTGCGGAGAGCACCATCAACGCGACTATGAAACCGGTCTGCCGCGATTAGATCGAATGTTTCCACTCGCTACATTCTTCCGGATGTCTAGGATTTTCTTTTTGTATTAAACAAATTACTTTTGAACCTCTGAAGGATTACAATACGAATGAAATTTTCATTATTTTCGTCAGCAATTATGGCGTAGGATATTTTTTTACGAATATTTTTCTCCCAGATCTAATGGAGGTTTTTCGAAATTATTCAAATCGGCGGCAATCCGATGTTGTAGGGGAGACGACCTTTAGAATTACTACAAGAGAATTCGTCATCGAGCGATACAATACATTTCAAATGTTGATGATGTGCTGTCATTTTTCTTAGATAGACTTTGCGTATTTTAAATCTATTGAAGACATATCAAATTCTTACGACGTAATAATATATTGTTAACGGATAATGTTATTCAAGTAGGAGTGATATGATGAAATCATGTCTCAATATTTATCCATGTTTTATTGCCTTATGTATCTTCATAATGTATATTATGTATACGTTATGTGTATGTATGCGAGGGAAGGTGCGACACGTGCGGACCGGCGTGCGTCTTAGCCCCAATCCGCACCTCCACATTCCGACACACGATCATAATTCCTTCTTAAAATACGTTTTGTATGTTGTTGATAGCTAGATGTGTTTACCTTAGCGGGGGCGAGACGCGGCATGGCGAGGCGGCGACTGGGGCGCGCCACTGCCACGCCGATGAGGGCGTCGCACAGCGCGCTCAGGCCCGCGCCGCTGCACGTGGGGGTGGCGGTGGCGGCGGTGGCGGCTCGCAGCGCGCTGCGCACCACGCCGCAGCTGGCCGTGCGCGACCCTCCGCTCGTCGTGTCTGCCACAAACAACACTCCCGGTTTACACCAACTTACCTAGGCCGTAATACTCACTCAAATAACATACAAATACGATTACATGTAAGTTAAACAAAAATTATATCCATTCCATTTCTTCCATCTTTGATCTATTTGTCTGCGTCGTTTGTTTACTCGTTATATGAGTTACATTTCTAAGTCAAAGTCAAAAAGTTCCTAACGTGCACATAAACCTTTCTCGATAAGCCATGATTTTAACCTATTTTTAAATGACGTGAGGCTGGATATGTAATTTATATAATTTCGCGGCTAACGCTGAGCACCGAAGTGGCATTGGAAACCTAATCCGCTGTAAACTGCTACATATATAATATATATATTGTGGATCGACGATACCTTTACTATGTGGAGTAAACGTGACGTTTGTTAACATTAAATAAGTTCCCGGAAGAGACTATTTTAAAAAAAATTTGTAAAATAATTTACCAGAGACGGCGAACTGCACGGTGAGCAGGGACTCCATGAGGGCGACGAGCAGGCGGGTCTCGGCGGGGGCTGCGGGTGCGGGCGGGTGACACAGGCGGTGCAGCGCCAGCTTGAGCAGCACGTAGCTGTGCGCCAGCAGCGGCGCGCGCGCCACGTGCTCGCGGAACATTGGACACAGCAGGCAGAGCCCCGCGCACGACTTCCAGAACGTGCCGATCGTCTTCAACACCTCGATGTAGTCCTCGCTCGATTCCTCGGCTCGGTCGTTCGATACTAAAGTGTTACTTGTCTTCGACATCTTTTCCACCGTTTCCGTGTTCATTTCGAGTATTTCCTTCTCCCTGGTGAGATCGCAGAGCTCCTGGAACTTGTCGGCGGGCAGCTGCAGTTTATATATGTTGTAGCACCTGTCGGTCACCTCCGACAGACATTTGAACAACATCCGCACGGAGGCCAGCGAGCTTATGTCGCGGTAGTAGGTGAGCTCCGCGTTCTCCCTCATCAGTTTGTATATTTCCACGATAATAGCGATTTCGAGAATCGCGCAGCACTGGTTGGAAAATTCCGGCAACGATACCAATTCGAGGACGTAGCTGAGGCCACCTTTTTGTATAAACTGTTCTGCGAAAGACACCGTGTTCAGAAGACTCGCAAAGATATTGAGACAAGACACGGTCAGGAAGTAGGCGGACTCCTCTCGCTTTATGATGTAGCGATGCTTGGACACGATGAAGGTGGGATAGATGACGCTGAATAGCAGCTCGTACTTCATCTCCATGCGGCACTTGGGCGTCACCTTCAGCAGGTGGCTGACCGCCGCGTGCAACACGTTGTTATGGTTGTCCAATTGAAGCAACGAGTTGTAGTGGATGAGAAACGACCACACGCTCTTTCTCTCTATTGGGCTCACCCCGTGGTGGCAATACTTCCTCCCCAGGTCTCTGTTGTCGTCGCAGGGCTCGCAAATGGAGCAGGGCAGCTGGTCCGTCACGCGGGGAATCAGTATGCTGGAGCCGAGGTCGCCGTAGACGGTGTGCTCGAGGAGCCGGAGACATCGCGGCGCGACGCTGTTGTGCGTCAACATCAACCTGACGATGCACTCCATCAGGAAGCCGGGGGAGAAGCAACAGCACACGCCGCACTTGAGCATCACTCGCAGTATTTTGGTCCTGAGGTCGGGCTGCGCCGAGACCCGGTCGTCGGTGACGAGGGCCGTGAGGGTGCCGTAGAGCAGTGAGACGCAGCAGGCGGAGGGCAGCGGCAGGCCGGGGCCCGCCTCGCCCAGCACGTCGTGGTGGTGGTGCATGCCGGCGAGCACGCGCGCCCGGCACGCCTTGTGCCAGCTCCGTCCGCACGCCGCCGAGTGGATCACCTCGCTTCTCACGCGCTTCATGCCGCTCACCAGTTTTCCTATACATTCTATAAGCTTCTCAATCAATATCACGCTAGTTTCTTCCTCCGCGTGAGGAATTCTGATCATCAGCTCTATGCACTCCTTGAGAAGGCCTCCTTTCAGACATTCCCCGTACAGCTTGAACTGGTCGGTGAACTCTCTGAGCTTGTCCACGGTGCGGCACTGCATCAACAGACAGTGGAAGAAGGCCGCAATAGAGTACGCTATTCCGAACACGTATTTCAGCAAGTTTTCCGCTTCCTTCTCGCTCGACTTTTCCAGGGCTTCGGAATGAGCGGGGCGGTCCTCCCTAGCGCTATACTTGGCGTTAGACTTACATATGACATCTTCCAGGATCCTGAGGAGCATCGGCAGAACGCCGCTATTGATTAGTTTGGCACACAAACCCGAGTGGATCAACACCTTGTCCAGCGAGACGATGAGGAGCTCCGTGAGGGCCAGTTTAATCCTCGACATCTGTTCACCGTCGTAGTTGACCCGGGCCGGCATGGAGCCGAACTGCAGGGAGCAGAGGTTCTTCAAGGAAAAGTTAATGCACTGCATGGAGATCTGCGACCCCTCGGCGCCGGAGAGGCTGCTCTCCGCCTTGCACAGCTCCTGCAGTAGCTCCGTGATGAGGAGCATGAAGTCGAAGCTACCGATTTCGGTGTTGATAATTTCCTTATGTTTGTCGTTCATGAAGTCGTCGGCTTTGGGTTTAGACTTGCGCGGGGTGTAGAAGGGGTCCGTGTAGAGCATCTCGTTGTGGTAGTCGTTGGAGGAGCGCACCGGCGAGTCGAAGTACTCGAAGTGATCGCTGGGCGCGCTCACTTTGATGGCCATGGACTTGTTCAGTATGTGCAGCTCGTCGTTGGAGTCCGCGGACTCCGTGGACGGCTCGGACTCTATGAGAGAGCGTCGTTTGCCTTTTGCGTCTGAGGAATCCGGTTTAGCGACGCCGTTGTGCTTCGTCCTGGTAATTAAATGTTAAAAGTGTGTTCGATACTTGTCCGCGTACATAAAGTATACAAATGACATTAGTCGCGGCTCTCGCTGCAGATAAACTGGATGGGAGTCGTATTTAATTGAATACTTTGCATTATTTAATATGTCAAAGCTTTTAAGTTTAACATTAAATAGTCGCGTGTCCTTGAAATAAGGACGAGATTTAAATAAATTGAAGTGCAATGATAGCGAGACCTTTGATAACATTAAAAAGATATGTGGACATCTGTTCAGTGAGATAGGAATTTTCAGAAGGTTGAAACAAGTCAAGATAGTAAATAAACAATAACAATATATACGACTTACCGTCCTATTGTGGAACATCTCGCTGAGGAAGCGATCGAACTTGTTTTAGTTGCTTGATTTAATTTTTGTTTGGCCCAGATTCTGAAAACGTTTCTGGTCTCATTAGACGTTTCAATAAATATCAAATTTCATAATATTAATTAATGAATTAAAACAGAAACATCACGCGAACAATTAAAGAATACAAACAATATCTTGATTCAGTTTTTAATGGAATTAGTCGGTATCCATAAACAACTAATTCCAAATATATTAAATGTTCATAAAATTATTAATACGAAGTACGTCATTAACCGATCTTAATGTTCACTAATGAGACTTTTATGTTTCAAATTATCTTTGTAAAATATTATACAACATTATAAAGTAACTTTACCTTAATAAAAAAAGATAAAATGACTCAGTTATTGATTTAAATGTCAATTTTCGTACAAAACGTTAGCTCGCAAGGACCATCACCTACATATATATTATTTAGATAATATACAAGTTGTGTACGCACAGACGTTTCTATAATACATGTTAAATTAATACATTTACTCTAAGATGTTTTACGAAAAATTACATTAAATCGCAAACAACAACAATGACCGGCAAATATGCATTTTGAGTTGCTTTTGCCCGCGATACCGTCCGCGAGGAATTAACGAACTTACTGTTCACTAAGATCCCTTTATCTGTTTTGGAGCGTAGTAACAAACTAACAAACATACATACATACATACATCCGTCTAAACTAAGATATGAATGTATGTTGTATTTTAGAGTGTAGCATCAGTGGTAACAAATATACTGTACTTGAAGAATAATATTTATTTGTATTCAATGTATGAGAAGATATCGCGCTCGAGATGAGTCAGCAGTTTGTCCTCGTTGCCATGGCGATGTTTACAAATATAAGAAAGAAAACAAAATATGCACATAATGAAGTTACTTTTATGCTAATTTAATTTTTCCAACCATTTATTTATGATATATCGAACAGATCGCGATGTTCCCACAATTAAGTCAATCTTTCAATATATTTATATATATAATTTATTTATATCAATGCGACTGATTTCTGCAACCGTGCACTTTTTTATTTTATTTAATCTGCGACAGTCATATTTCCTCAAAGGTCACTTTGTTTTATAAACGTATTTTTAACATTTTAAAATGGATTTAACACTTTCTACCGACTCGGTCGCAATTCACTTTAGGTAAAGAGCGTAAATAGTAGTTGCATTGAATGTGTTAAATGAAGACAGTGGTAAGTCGTCAGATGTGTGTGTATGTGTATGTACCTGTGCGAGAAGAGCGTGTGTATGGGAGGCGGGTGCGGGGCGCGCGGCGGCGTGGAGCCCGGGCTGGCCGCGCCGCCCGCCAGCTCGCCCCACAGCCACACCAGCACAGAGCTCAGCTGCCGGCAGCACGACAGACCCTGACCAAGAGACGCGGTACATTCTCCATCATACATTTGTCGACTAAGCTAGACATCCTAAGGGTCCGTTCGGACAGACCTACGCGAAGAGCAAACCAGATACATTTTATTCCAAAATAAAACACATATAATTTTAATTTGCACTTCTTTTTTGTCCAAAAAAAAAGTTAAAAAACGTGAAAAGTAAAATTAAACTTTCTTTTAATCATATAAAACTCAATTTTATTTCTAATAAAATTTTCTATGCTCTCCGCCCCGGTCTGTGTGAACGGGCCCTAAGATATAACATGTTATTCACTCAATGAAGCATGTAAATAAAAAAACTCCGTATAAAAATCGAAATACAATAAGTGGCGCTTAAGTTGGCACGTGGGGCAGAAGTGTACTATCGTTCTCGACGTGCCAAATTGATCGAATCTAGGTCGGGTACTTTATAAAGTAATAAAATATATTTTTATTTAATAACTACATTATATATGCCGTTGTAAAGCAATTAATTGTATCGTCATCAAGATAACGGTGCAAGGAAAGGCGGTTGATTAGTTGCACAAGCGGACGGTCAGTGACCGCGCGGAGTGCAACAGGTTTGTGTACATAAGTGGGCAATGCTGGTCCATTGCGAAATATATACATACTGAATGACAACAATGTGACGCGACGCGTATTGTTTGCAGAACATAGTGAACGCGGATGCCACACAAACATTGTACAACATATCTTGTTTCAAATAGATGTCGCGATTTTGAATGCAATAAACCTACAAATGTTAATAGAAACATTGAAATGATGCAGTACTTTCGTATCAGTCATACTTTTACTAATGTTGTATAAAAACTTTTTAACTGGTTTGTTTTTCGTATTTATGAAATAATGAAGATGATATGTTTGTAAGGCAACATATGGCAGACCTCGACGCCGAGCGTGCGCAGCAGCACGAGGCAGCGCCAGGCGGGGCCGCGCAGCACGTACGCGCGCAGCACCGCGCCGCTCGCCTGCGCCTGCGCCTGCGCGCGGCTGAACACGCTCGCCGGCGCGCGCGCGACGCACGCTCCCCCCTCAACCCCGCCATCACACACTGTCACAATGTCATTTGAAAAAATACTCACCTGTTCATAATGTTTACAAAGAAATGCTTGTATGTATTTACACGGTTACGTAAAATGTCATGTGAAATGATTGAAGAAATCAATCAAGCAAATGCAAGTGGGCGCAGGTCAACGAGGGCAGCGATATAGCTGTAACGTCAGCTGATAATCCATGCGCGTGCGCACTCGGATACATATTAATATTGTGTTTGATATATGCATCAACAACATTGGATATCGGTATTTGCTTGAAAGTGCTTGCCGAGTGTAGGTATGTTATATATAATTTAAAAATCAAATGTTCTATGACGCAAAATGTATTTTAATTGTGTATTGCAAATTAGTATTAGATTATAAATTGTCTAATTTAGATTTTTCCGATATAAATACATCGGATGTTTAATAGAATAAAATAAGAAATATAATTATGATGATGATGCAAGACATAAATGCATATTCAAATTGCATATCATATGTTTATGTGGAATGTTTCATTTGTTAATTCTAAAATATAAAAGCATTATTATAACATTATTAACAGGTAGTTCTGTTATAATAACTCCACATGTAGCGCGTATTTTGCGTGAGGGCAGGTCATTTATGTGAGTGGTGTTCTCCGGGAGCGATCTCAAATATTAAAACTTAACTCCATATTTCCTATGTATGTAATTCCATAAAATATAATAAAGCGAGAGATTTACCATCATGTCCGTTGGCGAAGCCGTTGCCGGAGTCGTGTGGTGGTGGTGGTGGTGGTGGAGGTGGTGGTGCCGGGGGAGCGGCGTGGTGCAGGTTGGCGGCGGAGGTGACGCGGTGGATGCCGCACAGCAGCTCGCACCCCACCAGCGTCACCACACCGCTCACCGGACTGAACACAACACAACCACATTGTTACACTTCTCATACAATAAACTCAACCACTATCACTTTCAAATATAGCTTGAAGAGGGATCATTTGAGGACTTTATGATAGGACAGATTAGAAATGATTTGTTGCTTATTAAATCTTTTCATCATGTAAAGTACCAGAACTTGATGAGCTGGTTGGCATCGACGCCCTCTTGGAGCCGCACGAGGAACTCCGCCAGGAAGAGCTCCAGCCATGTCGACTTCTGTAACACATCGACACAACTCTTTAATCACTATACTTTCAGGTAAAATTGTTAAGCTTAATTATGAAGAGTTTAGAGTTGATTTTTAAGAAGTTATGGTAATGGTATGGTGGTGCCAACCTCATAAGTGCCGGTCTCAGCCTTGAAGAAGTGTTCCCAATATATTTTTAAGGAGTCTGGTTCCTCCTCTGCTGCCATATCCGCCGCGTTTCAACCTACACACAAGAGTAAACAATATAGAAGTTTTTAATTTTTTTTATAATTGACTGGTTTGGTTTTTGGTATTTATATAATTAACTATATTTTAAATCTTCGTGACGCAAATATGACTATCGTATGAAATAAGAATGAACCAAAGTAAATGTTAACTGGTTTTTAAAAAACGAAATGAACTTGATCGTTAAAGTTGATTTATAGTGTTACCAGATACGTTATGAGAACAACCGGTTATCTTAACTGTATGAAATGTTTCGCGGTAATCCTGTACCCACATGACCACTGATAACGGTTTGCGCGCCAAAATTTTACGCACCCGTGATATGTTTACGCATGTTTAACGGAAGCAAAATAAATTATTTATACTAATTTATATGAATATTAAAATAAACCCTTAAACCACTTTGAAGTTGACGCAAAGTCAGTTAAGTTTAAACCAAAACCTATAAAAGTAATGTAGAAATGATAGTTAATCATACAACATACGTTAAAAAATAATTAATAAATAGATGACATAAACATTTGCGGGAGCTATTTAAAAAAAATCGTGTAAAAATTCTTCCGTCGAAATGTATCGGTATGTATTCGTAATACCACAAGTTTATCTCCGCAAAATATTTGGACACGGAATTTGTGTTTCTTCTTTTCGGAGTCTTGTGTCTGTGTGTGTGATGTCACAGGGGTGGCATCACACTACACAAATGAAACGAGCTATAAACTTCAGATATAATCAAACAATATTCAATAATAACAAATAATACAATTACTATCAACTATTGATTATTGGACAAATATTGTTTTACACGTGCTTTGTATTTACTCATATTTGATAGGTGACTATAGTAACTGTAGAAATATTAAAAAGGCAAATTACTTAATTTGTTATTATACATGTCTCAATTAAAAAACTGCACAAGAAAGGTTATTTAGCTGTAAGGTTTGACAACTGTCTCAAAGTACACAGTCGGAACAGACACGGCGCATCGATGCCAAAAGATGAAACTAATACAAGAGTTATTCCACATTCATTTATCATCATCGGATCACAACACTTGGCATTACACTCAATAAAGTCGACAGTAACCGCCGGGTTCTTAATTACATCATTCTGCAAGGGGGCACCGAGACCACAATGTACCTTTGATCTCGGCTATAGTTCCGTGAGCCGGAGACAGGGGGCTCTGTTGTCGGCTCATGCACAGTCCCGGCTACAGATACCCATTGATCTGGATTAGAGCACAATGATACAATTGATAAATGGTCCGCGAGCGAGCGCGCTCCTGTCGCGGAGGCGGAGGTGTACTGTGCTGTGTGCGGTACTCCGAGAAACCTTATCTGTGAGGTCATTATGTGACACGTATAGCTCGCACTGCGACTGCTCTCGCCGCAAAACAATATAAACTTATAAGATTTATTTCAAAGGTCCCGTTTTACATCGTCGGTCATCAAGAAATACATAGATAGGTATTTCAATGAATAATATCCACTGTACGCATATACGCAGACATACGGCATTTTCGGGGATCTAAAAAGGTAAACCTATTGCTGCTATTACTCTTTAATTAACCTCTCGAAGGTAATCGATAGGCCACGGTTTCGGCATACAAAAGTCGTGATGGACTAAGTTGTTGTAAAGTTTCTCGGGTATCCTCACCTCTCTACCTCTACCTCGGACGATCAAAATAAACATGTAATACACAATACATACCAAACCAACAAACGTGACAATGAAGATTAATCACTACAAGGCCACTGTAGTGCGTAATTCAATGTGAATAATTTAACATTTAGATTTAGAATTGATTTGAATGGAAAATGTTACATCAAGAAATCGGCACATATTGAATAACACAAACAAAATTGAATTTCAATAGGATATTGTAGTTTTTAAAGTAGCTGATCACGTAAGAGCAGACACAAAGTGCAGTTTGCCAGTGGCGTAGGCCGTACGTGACTTAGGTCAGTTCTAGACAAACACGCTTGCCCGCGATACACGCCACTCCTTCCTACCACTTACACGCAGTGTGTACACGAAAGATAACATTGTTTGCAAGCGAATTCGAGTGAGCCTTGTCCATAACAATAATGACGTTCAGATTAGCGTAGAGGTAATATAAGGTAAAAATGTGGGGCTTGATCTTTTGATTTACTACGTCTCAAAAATTTACAGGAATTTTTAGGAAGGCCATAAAAATCATAAATTTTTTTGGTATTAAATACGTTTCAAGGACAGAAAAGCAAGATCGGCTCTTACTATTTACGAGTATTACTAATTAATGTGTCCTTATTTTAATCAATTCTTTCGACGTATCAATATGTTGATAGAAAGGACAACGATTCTGAAGTAGAATATATAACTATCTCTGTGTGTGTTTTGAAATAAAATTAAAAAAAAATTCGAGATATTTTTTTTTACATTTTTTACAAATTGTACATACACAGTCCGACAACGATAATTTGTATTTAAATATCTATAAAATTCTCTAGAGTCGTGTTTATCAGTTCCAGGCCAGACATCGAGACAAAACATGAAATTCGCATATATTGCGTCTTTATTGTAGTGGGTAGCGGGGATGGCGTGGCGGGGTGGCGGGGTCGCGGGGGCAGGATTGATAGCTCGGTATATTTAACAATGTTATCGGGCGCGAGATAATATGATGCTCGCGCGCAGTTAATTGTCAATGAACAACAACAAAACTGAACCCGTTATCAGTTTGAACTAGGCAGCTCGCAACCAGCACTACAGCACAACTCAGGAACACAAGCAGTTGACAAACTCCACCAGATACAGACAAAATACTTGATAATAAACAATTAAATTTATAAAATATAAACTCAACTAACTGCATAACCATCATTCTTCATATATTATTGAGTACTAGTTTTTTCTTTTGGACCAAATTTGTATAAAGGCTTCAAAGAACTGAATAGAAGATATCCTTAAAACATATAGATTGCTATATTATTTTTTTGAACAAAAATGACAAAAATATATTCTCTATTTTTTATTAAGGCCTCTCCATATCAATATACATAGCATATAAAAGGCATTTATTTGTATAAAGAAATAATAAATCAGTATCCAAAATTTAATAGTTCATATTTAAAACAATATAAAATTCGAGAACATGCAAACACACAAATAAAACCTAAAATACACTACCCATATGATTGGTACCTGCTGAACTGAATGCTACACTTTGTACAAGTAAAATTCTGCCAAAGAAATATTGTTACAAACATGCCGGATACAAACTCTGGTCCCCACTTTAAACATTTCGGGGATGAATTTCTTATAATCATTTCTTAGTGGATGCCTCCTAAGTAAAAAAACCTCTATGTAAAATTTAGGGTTTCTGGACCTTAAACTTTGGCTGTGTGTTGATAGTTGATTAAGATTGTTACATAGCTATTTAATATTTCTACTAAATTATACGTACATAATATGCTAGGTTTTGTGTTCTATATTGGTACGATATACTATGTATATAGTAAGGTACTATATAAGTTCTGCACAAAATATTTTTAAAACAAATGTACTGTAACAATCAGCTGATCAATGTCTAATAAGTAAACTGTCGATTTTAAAGGTAAACTTTGACTTCAAAAATTAATGAAAAACAGTATGTTAAATGAATGAATTGACCAATACTTATAAAAGCGATAAACAGTAGATGTCCTATTGCAAAAATAAAAACCACTTACATGAAACTTTCACAACGGTATTCAAAAGTTTCTTCAGCCTTTGAAAAATCGCTCAAGAATTTCTAAGTCTTCTAACGAATATTAAACGTTATATTTACTATAATAAAGTTGTCAGAAATTATAATAAAAGGATTGGTTTTGCTAATCTAATAAGTTTTTTACTTTTCTTAATATCAAAGAGTTGAAAAGTTGAGTGTTTTGGTTACTTCATCTGTATTCTGTTTTCAAAGTTCAGGTCTTTAGGGTTGCCTAGAGTAATATTGTTCTTGACACTACGCACATATCGTTCCGTTAAATAATTAATGATGGAACCTATTAATTCGAAAGTAATGGAAAGATCGAGAATATTTCTTCATTTTAATTTTATTCAAGAAACCTATGATTAACATTAATATATTATTTTCGAAAGTTATACAATTTTAAAACTATCAAATTACTGTCGTACACATACGTCATAATCACGAGTTGGACTTGTCAAATGTCAATGTCATTGTCATCAGAAAAATATTCTCCAAGTTCGCCTACAATTTTGTGTTTGACTCAAGTTTATTTATTCGTATTTTTTTCCTTTAGCTTTAGTTAACATTCATTTGCGTGGTAGCGATGATGAAGTCATCAGCGTAGTGGTGAGATAAGTGTTGTGCAGTGAATTTCGTAAATTGTTTAGAAAGCCGCCGCGATGTGGGAAGACCTTATAGAATATTTAAATGATCCGTTATTAGTGGTTAAGGTTCAAAATTTTTTTGGTGTAATTTATAAAAATATATCTCATGATGGCACTGCTGAAATAACTCATTCGGACAGGTTAAATAAAGAAAAAGAAGAATTTGATTTGAAACAACATAAAAGGATTCCCAGCAATATATCAAGTAGTTCGCAGTCCTCATATGACACAGATACCTCCGCAGAGAGTAACGGCAGAGAGGAGGTGGTGTGTCACATCAACAACAAGTTTTGGTACTGGCTGTTTGTTGTGGGTACAGCTCTTGGAGACGAAATATTCTATGTAACATTCATACCATTTTGGTTTTGGAACATAGATGGTGCTGTAGGAAGGAGAGTTATCCTGGTCTGGACTATTGTTATGTATATAGGTAAATTAAAAACACGAATGTGTATATTTTACTTTAATAATTAATTGAAAAAATCTTATTTATACAAATAAGCAAATAACAATTGTTGTCAGCTCATATACATGCCTACTAGAGACTTGAGCTTATCCCATGTCAGGAATGACACAGCTACCATTAGTTAACAGTATTCAGTTATTAATATGCTTTTTAATGTGAATTAATAAACTCATAGTTTTTCTTATAACATTAAATACTGTAACTTCTTTGTAACTCTTGACATTTAATATTTAATTATGATTTATGAAGAATAACTATTCATATGTTTTATGAAGGCCATCATTGTTAAGCACTGTAACAATTAAAATAAACCTTGACAGGATTTTACGTTGTGGTATATTTTACAAGGACCAGTAAAATTTACAACTCCCATGTGATTATTGTTTTACTTTGTTTAGAACAGTAAGCTAAAGTGCTATGTACACATAATGTTGTTTAAATATTTAGTTGGCACATTGCTCTGAAGGGTGGGTATCCTTGTTTCCAACATGCTTAATCAAATGGCATGTTCTATATAATATTATCTTCTCCAGTCATAGAGGCACACCAAGAGGTCCATGACTATAGACATTTGAATGTCTGTGCCCTGCATCTGCAGCGTTGTGCAGTATATGGGCATCTTTTTTCTGGCTATAATCTCTTTCTCATACAACATGCTACAAGCTCAACTTGCTATTGCATGTATTCAACAATACACTTTGATTGTATTTTCATTACAAATGCAAAAGATAAATATTTAAGGCACAAATTCCAAATTGATAATCATTGTATGTAACTTCACTTATCTTTATGTTAATGAATACTTGGAGTTTTAGTCAGACAACTAAGATTATATGAGATTAAAAAATCACCTGACAAAAATGTTTATTTATCTTGTAATTATGCCTTATCTTGTGAGTAATTGAAGTTAAAGGTAGGTTTATTAGAGATTTAGTGTTGTTCACACATTGGCGTCATTAACTAAAATCGCTGTAATGCTGCAGGTTTACCTTGGAATTAAAATAGCTAGAAGTCAGTCAAGACTACAGCTCACATCTTTAATTTATTTAAATGCAAATTAGTATGTTCTCAATTTGTCTGTATTTCTTTTTGCAGATATTACATTAATAAATTATGCATGACACAAGACATTTTTTACATCCAACTAGTTGTCGCCCGCGACTCCATCCACTCGGGGTTAGGAAGAACATTACAAAATAAGCCTATATGTTCTTCCAGACTATGTTTTATATCTATCCCTGTAACCATTCCGGAGATATCTTCAAAAAAATATTCATCCATCCATCTAAACATTCACATTTATAATACAAGTATTAGTAAGATACATTAAGAAATTATATTTTATAGGCATTCTCTTTGTTATTTAGAATGCTTGCTGTCTGTACAGATGCGAGCAGAGATAAGATGTCAGGACATCAGTTTGTTTACAGTTTGTTAATACTGGTTTGCTTAGTTAAATGATCACGTATGCATTTATGTTTGTATACGAGGGAATGCGCGCATCATCTTTACCATCTTATACACATATAAAATAAATATGTTAGTTATAATACGGTATTATCGATGTGGACAACATTCATTTAAAAATAATATAATTTCTGGATTATAAGTACGAAACTGAGCTTATCAGTATATCTTTCAGTTTATATAAATGCTGCAGTATGTAGTCTCCATTTTAATATATTTACGTTTGTCGTTACAATTTTTTACTATCTGATAAGGTCGGGTTTTTTGTAACAATGAAACAGATTACATGTATCTTTAATAATTTATTTTATTTGATATTCAAGCTAGTCTGTTGCGCACTCATAATCTTTGGAAATAACTTAATAATTACCTAATAATTTCTTTTAGTTCAAGAGCTAATCGCTAGCACCATTTGATTCCAGGTCAGGGTTCAAAAGACTTAATACGATGGCCGCGACCTGGGTACCCGGTGCAGAAGCTGCAGCAGAAGTGGGCAGCGGAGTATGGCATGCCTTCCACGCATGCCATGGTCGGCGTCTCCATACCGTTCTCGGTGTTGCTGTACACGATGGACCGGTACCGCTACCCGGCGCACTGGGGCCTCATCATCGCCGTCGCCTGGTGCACGCTCATCTGCGTCAGTAGGGTCTACCTCGGCATGCATAGCGTGCTGGTTAGTATACGAGACATACCTATGTGATGGAGCTTATTGTGCTCTCTAGGTGTGATATGGACATGAGGTACGATTTGTAGTCAGTTGTGTGAAAGTATGAGAACTATATAGGTTGTTTGTTTTAATTTGCAGGACATTGCGGGAGGCCTGGTGCTGGCCGGCGCGCTGTTGGTGCCACTGATCCCGCTAGTGGACTGGCTGGACGGCGTGCTGCTGACCGCGCCCTACGCGCCCGCCCTCGTGCTGGCCGTCTCTGTGCTCCTCGTGGTGTATCACCCGCACGCCGACAAGTGGACACCCACCAGGTCAGTGGCGCAGTCACACTTGCATACGCTCTAATGTTTTGTACGGTGTCACCAATCTGGTCTTTATAATTACCAGTCAAGATAAATAATTTTGTTAGAATATTTGTAAATCTATCTGAACGGATTTGGACGAGTGAGTCGCGTCTTCCTTCCTCTACTTGTCGACAATAGGGTAGGTCATACTTATCAGCATCATCTACATCAGCACAATACGACGTAGCAAATAAAACTTTAAATATGTGAAGATTAAGTTCTGATCGCACTCGTTACAACTATTTTTACATGGCAGGATTAGATTATTGTTAAACTGGTTTGTTTTTATGAGCTACACGTGTCGCGGTGTGCGGCGTGCGGTGTGCGAGGTGTCTCCTCATGCACACTTTATGTTGAATTCGTGATCAGTTATCGCTTAATGAAGCGATAAATAAAACAAAAAATACTTCATTACATAAGCTTTAAAAATTTTATCGAACCAATACGCTTTACATGTAAACTAGTAGAGGGGATCCTAACCAGGATTAATTGAACTATACAATAATTAAAACATAAGACAAGAGATACAATCAACAAAATAAGGTAAATGAGTAGGTAAACAAGAGTAGGGGCAACATTTTCAGAGGCGACACGACGATGATAGTGAGCGTGTGCGCCGGCATCCTGACGGGCTCGTGGATCAACTACCAGCTGGGCAACCTGAGGGCGAGCGCGGCGGACCCGCCCTACGACATCATCTGGCCCGGCGCCGCCATGCTGGGCTGCGCCGCGCTGCGCACCGTGCTCGGCCTCTGCGGCCTGCTGGCCACGCGCGCGCTCGCCAAGTCCGCCTCGTACGCGCTCGTCTGCGCGCTGCTGGGCCGGGAGCTGCGCGCGCTGCGCTGCTCCGAGGACAGTCTGCGCAACACGCACAAGATCCTCGCCGAGCTCTGCTACAAGTACTTCACCTACGCCGTCATCGGCCTCAACACCACCTACGTCTTCCCCAACGTCTTCTACCTGCTGCGCATCAACCGCCCCACATACTACACGGAGATATGATGCTTCCCCCCCCCCACCCCCATGTTACAATATTAACTAGTTTTACTTATATACGATGTTATTAAATGTATATTACAGTCAATATAGGCGTTAATAATATTACATTTGCAATGAAAACTCAACATTCGCAATGGAACTCGAACGAAACGTCCTTAACTTTATTAGTGTTTAATGTTCCCACATTTCTCTAATTTGTCGTTCAAATCATTGTTGCAAATTATTGGCAAAAAAAACTATTTAGTTTGAATTTCTAAAATGTAAATAAACTTATAAATATATTTAGTGGAATGCAATTTATAAATATATGTTGTACACTTACAGACCGAAATAATTATTATAAACATCCCAAGTATCAAAACTTTAAAAAGAAAATAAAAAAAATATGTATAAATTTTAAATTTTTCAAATGTCAAAACTATTTCGTTATAAGAATAATAATTGTTTTGTGTTCATTTTAGAAAAGATGTGGCCTTGCGATGGCCGTGACAAAAATACCAATTATATTTAAAACCAGGGGAAGATTAAAACACAGATAAATAACATTGAACGGGAAAAAAAAATTGTTTTTATAAATATATTTTTAATTCTCTAATTTGTCACTAGAGTCTGATGTTAGCCGAGAAGGGAGGAGATTTTTTTTTATCACATATTGCACAATGTTGGTAATGTTATCTCTGCATATGTACTGTATTATGATGATAAACTTTACATTAAAAGGACGCTAATGTTAATAAAAATATACACGAAATGTAAAGTAATATAAATTCAAACCGACAACGTTACATGTCAGAGATGTAACCTTGTCCGACGTAAAAACGTACATATCATGAGGTAGCTTTTTACTTGAGATGGGTCGAGATATATAGTTTAAATTTCGTTATGACCGTTCATACATTTTGTTTTCTTGTCTCGAACATTTTAAAATAGAATAAAATTAATAATTTTCCATTTCTTTGAGGCAATGTTGGCTCTTTAACTGCATTCTATTTCTCAACGTAGATATCAATGGCTATTAAAAGAATTTAATAGTTTCCGCCACAAATGACAGAATATTATTGCAAGGCAAATTATAAAATTAGAACATGTTATAAAGTTGCCCAATTTCGTTTATAAGCTGTAGTATTTATGTATATAAGATGTTTTTTTTTTTTATAAATTATTTTAAATAATTATTTATATTTTATTAGCTTAGATGTTGCGTGCTGCCCTGTTGTAGCAGTCGTATTGCACAGCTTCGTGTTAAATATTTCTGTTACGTCTCTATACGCTAATCTTAAAAAAATTCCCAACTGTTCCACGACTGCCCTCCCCGCATAACACTCGCGCTCATCCGAACTGTTGCAGGTTATCGTAACTACCCTCTTGTGAGAGAATACTTAGTCAGTGAACTATTACTTATATGTAATACCGAAAAATAATAGCTACGACTCTATGACATGTTTTATTGCTTTTGTGAAATACCGAGTTGTTACTCGAATGTGTGAATGAGACCATACTTTGATTCTTAGTATAAAGGAGGAGAGACGATCTTCATTGTAAAGATAAAGTTGATTCCAAGAATGTAATTTGAGAATAGGCGACCTCAGCAAAGGTTATCACAGTGGTATCGGAGGCACACAACTGATCCCATTTATTTAAACGCTTATTATAAAAGTGGTACTTCTTTGTTAATACCAATTTATATGAGATTTGGAATCCATTTTCGTTATTATTTGACTAGCTGTTTCTTGTGCTGAATTAAAAAAAAAATCTTAATAATTAGCCTGTGTTCTTCCAGACAATGTTGTACATCTATGCCTTTCAGCGAGATCTATGCAGACATTCTGGAGATAACTTTTAACTAACATAAATCTATCTAAATATATTCATTTATAATTTATTTATGGATTGGTATACATTTTTTGAGCCAGAAAGTTATGCGATGCGCGGAGGATAGATCCAGGCTGGTGGTGATAGGAAAAGCGTTGGTAAACAAGCATAAATCAAATCACAATATAAAAATATCTATTTATATTGTATGTCAAAAAACCATATTACATAAAATAAAAGATACATATTTCCTTAGCGATGTAGGCAGGCGATACATATAAATAAATTCGACTAAAACTGCACAATAATACACTTTTTATTTCTTATAATATTTAACAAATTCCAAATAATTTGATTTATTTACAAATTTTGTTTTTCATAAAATTATCCAACTAGTTAGAGGCAGTTTTACAAAATACAAAACTATAGAATTTAACAGAAGTACTAGATACTAAGGTGTGCGCTGTGCCGGCACACGACTAAGACATTTCTTTTCGGCGGTACTGGTGAGTGAAATCGCACAGATTACATAACAAAATGAGTAACTCACTTCTACGACTCCATAAGAGAATAGAAACAGTTCGACAACATGGGGCCTTAGCCGCCGCTTTCCTTACAAAGTTAGGGCAAAGCCGCCATTTGTCTGACAAAGTTTATACCAACGATGAAAATGTTATTTCACCGGGATAAACACGACAGTCTCTCACTGCACAGCTCAAGTGTCACATTTCACCACACGGGTAATAAAAAACCTAACATAAATGAGTAATAATATAATATACATATGTTTTATTTTATAAATATATTTAACTGTTGATAAAGGGCATTAGTTTAGATGATAACGTGGCCCATTTCCCCGCGGCTTCGTCCAGCAAACCATCGACAATGTTATCAGTGACAGCTGACAGCTGACGTGAATGGCGGCGGGCGCTGTCAGCTGTCACGACAGGCCGACATTCGCGCGTAAATACACTGAATTAGTTCTTGTTATATATTTATCATATAAAACAGTTATGAATAATGATATATAAAGAGATATATAATTTAAACAACGAAAATAACTTGATTTATAAGCAAAGTTAATGCGTCGTATATTTGCCAGCTGTTATCTGGTGACCCCGCGTTATCACGTAACCTTTCTGCGGCGGAGTTGACAGCGAGCTCCCACTCGCCTCCGACTACATGATGACACTACGCGATACTGCGACTGCGACTGCGACACAAGCCTAACTTATCATAACAGGTCAAAGTTAGTTTCACTAACTTTTAAACAATCGATGGCTACAAGGAGCACATTTTTAGATATTTACATAAATTTGCTAACGTATGTAGTGGTAGACTAACTATATATATATAAATAATACAATGATATATATGTGTATATCTGTAGTGAGGCGCGGGGCGGTGGGGGTGGCGGGGAGAGGGCTTATGCGACGTTGATGAAGTTCGCGCTTTCCTTCAACTTTTCAAATAGACTCTCCGTGTCGCTGTCAAACATCTGGAAAGAAGGGATATAGAGATTAGTATCAGTGTCAATAAAGTTTGTAATAATTATTGATGACATTTTTAAATCAGTCCGACAGTGAGTTAATTTCCATTATCGTATACGATGTGTTTGCATGACGTTTGGTGACGTGTCGTCGGTCGGCGGCTAGTTTTCCTGCGGCGGAGGCGGTCCAACTCCCGAGCAATCGTAATTCTCAGAATGTGCGCGTTGCGGTTGTCGGCCGCGGGAAAACTATGACATCTGTCGAGTATGGACCGAATGCACTCGGCACTTTGTTTACTTACGATTCCAGAAACATCTCACAGTGAATAGCTTTCGTTATCGTAATGTTTTTATAAACGGTTTCGTTTAAATCAATTCTCGGGAAACTCGACCGATGTTTTGACAGAAGTGATGACATATTGTGCTGTTTGTTATCACTCCTACGCCATTATCAAAAACATAAACTCAGAGTTATTATACCTATAAAGACAAGTACTTTTCGTATATTAATAGAATGTGTATGTTGTGTATACTGACATCGTCTTCGTCATCCTCCGAGTCGGTGTCGGTGTCGGTGTCTTCGGAGAGCGCGGAGAAGGCGTGTCGCGCGGCGGTGCGGGCGGCCATGGAGCGCGGCGTGCGGCCGGCCATGCTGCGCGCACGGGCCGAGGCGCCGCGCTGCAACAGCGCGCTGCACAGACGCGCGTCCCCGCGCCGCGCCGCGATGTGCAATGCCGTCCATCCCGCCAGACCCTCCTGCAAATATACAAAACATTACATTAGGGGGTTGTCGCATGAGGTGAATTTTTAAATTTGAAATTTGCAGGAATATGGGTACCTATATGGTAATAAAGAGAACCGCGACTTAGGGAAAACTAAAGACGGTTTCATAGCAAGTTCGTCGCTAGCATCAATAGATTACAGCGTTTCCGGTGTTATATTTTATCTTGCTCTGTGAAACTTAGGTATTTACACAAATTAAGTTATTGCACATTGTTAAAATGTTTGTACGTCAGCAATGACCGTATCACTTTTTGTCTGGACGCGGTCGTTGCTGCATTGAGGACTTTAAACTGAACATCTTAGAGTTGATATTGCGAGCGTCGTCGGAGCCGAGTGTTAACGAACAAACGGAGAGAAAAAAACCCACCAGCTATCAGTACGAGGTATTATCAGCTGATTAGAAGGACGGGTTTCCCTGCGGGACTTTTATTTGTGTTACCGAGGTGGTTTCGGGGGCACGTACGGTCGTTTGATTTGTTTCAAAATACGACGGTTCATTATTTGGGTTTGCAAGTATTACGGAAGTCACGATATTGATAATCAAGCTGTATGCAGATTTATGATTACAATTATATTTATAACTGTGAGTTAAGAAGTCAAGTTAAGAAAGACTGTTGCCAAAGGTCAGATTGTTGCGCCGGTCGCTTTTGCGATATGACGTACAGACATATTATAACATTTAGGATACTCGATTCACTAGGACACGAAACACGATAATTACGTGAATTATAAAAAGGCATAGAGTAGTAGAAGTGAGCAAGTAATGCGGTCGTCGGACACTGGAGCTACGTGCACGGAGACATGCACACTTGTTAATATCTACCGACAGAGAGACGCCATTCAGTCAACACTTTTCTCAAAATCTTCTGAACAACCAAGATTTATTTATCATATATAGCATCACTCGGCTTCCGATCTTAAAGACATTATCAGCCTTTTAACCTGGCATCGTTTACGTTGTTATGATGTAATGTCGGTACTCACCGCAGCGTTGAGGTCTGCGCCGTAGTATGCGAGCGTGTTGAGCGTCTCCACGTGTCCCGCAGCGGCTGCTACGTGCACGCACATCTGCCCTGTAACAACAGACACTATTCTGTAGGAAATGTTATCAATTAAAAACTTTAACTTTGTGTGTATGGCGAATCAAGCAAACTACTTTCGAAGTCTTTCTCTTAAAGTTGTTGCAGATTGTATATGTATGTTTAAAATATCTTACAACTTGACTTAATGACAACTATGACTTAATATCTTTCAACGAAAATAAAACATTGACGTCACGCCGTGGGAACTGAACCCCCGAGCGATCAGTTGGCCACAAGCGCGAGCGGTGCCGCAGGCCGGCGAGCGTGTTGTACGTGACGTGACATTGGCGGATCTCGTGACGTCACGCCCCCTTCACCCCACTGACGCAGCAGTGTGGCAGCACGTGCACTGGGGGCGAGCGGGGAGGGGTCACAGCTGTGACGTGTGCTGTCACTATAGCATGCTGCTCATAATTAACACCTTGGATAGACTTCGATGAAATAGTTTAAACTAAATCCTTGCTGGTTTTGTCAACACTTTGTAAATGCTTTTTATTTGCCTAGGAACTGAGTGAAGAGATATATATATATATATATATATATATATATATATATATATATATATATATATATAGAAGCGTACTCGCACTTGCTCATTGAAATAATTACAGTTGAATAATATAATGTGAGTGTGTGGTTACAAAAACTATATTTATGATGTGTCTTACACGATGTTATTACAATTGATTGTTGTGACGACACGTTCGTAACAATGATATGATGCCGCAATAATTATAGGATTAATTGGTAAATTATGAGGTTGCAGTAATGACACCTACCACTAGTGAAGAAATTACAAAATACTATTTCTTATCTAAATATATGTAATGTAAATGTATTGTACTCATTGTTGTCAAGCTCAGATATTTGATTAATGTACATTTATAAGATAACATCATAAAGAATACGAACTTGCCACCGATTCGAGCTTGTGGCAAGCAGCGAGGTTCGCCGACATGGGAATCCCAAATTAGCGACATGTCCGCTGCGCCACGGACGAAGATGAACATTCATTAATTATGTACAATAAATATATCTGCACTTTGTACTCTGTAGTTAGCAAACTTTTGCAGCTGCATACTAAAATGTGAAAGTTTAATTGCGCGCGTATACGAAAGTTGCAATTTCGCGACACCTTATCTATACTAAGACTAAAACTAGACCTCCTTGTCATATTGGTATTGCGCATTTTACCAGTTTCCGCGGCTCCCATAGCGGCATGTTATTCCGCGGTACAACGACGCGGCCGAGCGCGATTGGCCTAGATCTGAAGCTATTTCCGACTCGACACAAATAAATGGGCGCACAGCGCGCTCCAAAATATCCGGGGAAGATTTTAAATCTCCCCAGAGTTATTTCTCGACGATTTATTCCGAGTGAGAGTGAGCAATGGCTTCATCTATCTAGGGTTAATTTCGCGTTGAAGTATAAATTGTTCCTCGAGACACAATGTATAAAAGGATAGAAAAACAAGCAGATAAAAAAGGCGCTAATTCTTTACTTTTCTTATAAAAATCGTATTTATAATGTGAGGTGGAATTCATATAAAGCGCCATCACCAAATTAACACGTCTCACGTAATCATTTTCGCATGCCTGAGTATATTTATAGAATGCCAAAGAGAATTTCATCTAATTGAGTTAGTGTACCGCAGTAATCGTTATCGTTATATCTACAACTTGTAGAAAGAGTATGTATTAATTGAATAGCGTCAAGTGAACGAGCGATTACAATGAATGAGATGTATGATAATGAAGTGCCGCGAGCACGTCGCGACCGGAAAGACTGGCCGTGCTATTTCTTGAAAATAACATAAAAATTCCGAGAAAACCTCAGTCAAATGATACAGTCGTACCGCTCTTCAATACTGTATCTGTAGATTGTAGTTTTTGTAGCTAATATTACCGCACATTAAGCGTTACAAGACAACTTGTGAACACAATGACCAATCTATCGGTCGGATTTCACCTTGTCTTCTTACAACACTATAAATCATTAATAATTATGAAACGTTTGTAAATTTTTACCAATTATGTTACCGTTTGGTATAATTTTTGTTCATTTAAATGCAAGATAAGACTTATTGTTATTGATATAATCTTAAGCGGTTGGTTGGTTTTATCTCGCTTTTTGGTTTTTCTTGGCACAGTAGTAGGTACTTGGCAACTTTGGCTCGCAATGAATGAATCTTTGCGAAACAGGGTCACACAAATAGGTTTTACACGGCCAGGCATTTTGTTATTATCCAATGTATTGTAGAGAATCGTTCATGTACTCGTGATGTCGTTGGAATTTTATTAGCGGGCGAGTGCGTGGCTTGCGGGCGGGGCGG